AGAGAAGGATAAAATCAGAATTAAGGTCATTGATTAGAAGGTAGAGGGGGGAAAAAAAGAAGGGAGAGGAGATGTGTCTCTAAAACTCACAGCAGTTTCAAAAAATTCTTCATCAAAGCTCGATGTGGGCTAATGAAAAATAAATTTTCAGGTAGCAAAGGGACACCAGTAGAATTCATAAGTTTCTTATTCCTACTCATTTTCTTGCCACTTTTTCTTCACCAGTCCAATTACTAATGCAAAAGGAACTCTAGGGCACACAGGAAGCACACAGTCACTTATCCAGTCTATAGATAGTATTAAGTAGGGAAGTCATGCTGGCCTCCAGAGTAAAAATACTAAAAAATGTCCTCAGATTCCCTCCCTGTTGCTATTCAGTTCTTCAGTGTTATGCTTACAAATGTATATGTTGAAAAGTTTTTATTTTAAATATTTTTTTAAGAATCTCTTCAACCTTATCCATCTTCTCTTTGTCCTTCCTTCAAGGAAGGAGCTGAAGAGCCCACCCATAGCCAAGAGGAACCTCCCATAACCTGCCGAGAAGGGAAGTGAGCCAAACCAAGTCTGAGCTTAGTAGCTGATTCTGGCTGGCATTCTAGTTGGAAATAAAGACTTTCTAGTCATGCCGGTTAGAAACAAAAAATCATGCAATTTACCTTTCGATTATGATTAAAAGTGCTACATCAAATACAGACGCAGTGAGAGCCCTCAAAGAGGACCTTGCCAGTTCTGTGAGGTTCCCCGGAGAATCGCATCTCCTGGTGTTAACCTGGGACTATGCAGAGGTGTGAACTGAACGTAGAGGGGCTAGTGAGCATTTGGGCAGAAGACACTGCACAGGAGAAGCTACAGAGCATGTGGGAGAAACAGGAAGGTGCCCAGGAGACTGGTGCGCTGCAAATGAAGGAGAGAGATGAGGTGGAGAGGTAGTGAGGCCACATCATGTAAGCCTTGTGGGGATAGGAGCAGTTTGCATTTTAGTCTGTGAATCATGGAAGCCATTGACTGAAGCAACCACTGAGATCTGTATTTTAAGGCCACTCTGTGTGCAGCAGTGGCACTGTGGTGCTGTAGGCTACAGAGTTATGCAGGCTATTGCCCCAACTGCTCCTCAAGGTTATACGAGCTCTGGTCCTGGAAATGGGAATGGGGTGGTTGAGAGGGCTGACATGTCCTTGTGCTAGCGCACTCTTTTGGGTGGCTTGTATGCTGGTCTTGGCACAAGGGTTTGGCCCACTGACAGAGAGCCCATCCAGCTTCACTCTTTGGAGTAATCATCCCATGTCATCAAGCTTAGCCTGTCTGGATCACACTTTGAAAAGTTCTGCCATCCTGTGGTGAGTTTCTTCCTGCCTCAGGAGCAGGCTGGTGGTGCATGGACTCCAAGCAAGGCAAAGACCTCTTTCTCATTCCTGTTGAACATACCTAGACACCCAATTGATGAGGCCAGATTGGAGGTACCTAATTCCTGTTTACCTGAACAGGGTGGCATTTTTCTGGAAGCTCAGGTGCCCAAATTACAGTGTGTTGGTGTGGAATCTGGATTATAAACCAGCCCTCTTTGGTTAATATTTAATGTCATGTATTTTGGCATTGCCTTTTTGGTTCCCCTTAGGGTCTAGCACATTGCAGGAATGCAGAATAGATATCCAATTAATACTTAATAAGTTAAATTGAACAGCAAGCCCACCAATGGGTTGTTCTGAGTGGAGTATCACTTGGGGCTACACTTCCTGGCTAGTGTCATGTGCTGACACATATGTGGCCAAACATACCATTACCGACTCCCCAGAAGTCCCTGACCAATATCAGAACACGAGTTCTCTCGCCCACCCATTTCATGAAGCTCAGGTCCTTGGGGACCTCCATCTGGAAACCACTGTGCATGGTCATCTAGTATATGCAGGACAGTATGAAAGATGCAATAAAGGCAAGAGACACAGACAACAAGAAAGAGAAAGGGGAGAACTAATAGCATGTAGCATCTATTGAGCACCTACTGTGTATCAGATGTTTAACAAACATGATTGCTCATCATGACTCAGTTCCTGCAAGGTCAGTGTTATCACTTCATTTAACAAATGAGAACAGTGGAGCTCAGGTAGGTTAAGGGACTCATTAAATCCTGACAGTCAGGAAAGGACAGCTCTAGGGTTAATTAACAGTTGACTCTGCTGTGCTTCCATATGAGAAGGAAGGGGCTCTTAGCACCGAGAGACCAAAGCCTACTGACCTGCACCAAACCTCTTCATACCCAGGAGCCTTGCCATGCTCCAGCCCACAGACTCTGTCAACATCTGTCTTTTCCCTAACATCCTGTTCTTCCTTTCACTCCCTTCTCTCCCCCTCCCCCAGAAGAAGAGATGTATTCCAACTTTTGGTCCCCAGCTCCTCATCCCTCCCTCCAGATTCAGGCATTTCCGACTTTAAAATAATTTACTGCCTGTGAGATGATAGGAAATCAGCGTTGGGCAGTAACTGCTCTCCCCAGGGGTTTTCGTAAGGAACTTTGAGCCGGGGTTGAGTGGGTGAGCAAAATCATGACTTCGTGTTTTCCAGAGACCTTCACCAGGCTTCCCACAGTGGCCAGGAAGTGGAGGAAGATGAAATGATAGCTTGAAACCCCTGGAGGCTTTCGCTTCTGCCTCTTCAATTAATTGAATTAATACTCCAGTCATCTGAAAGTATGACTGGAGTCTTGGGCTACTGGCTGCGGTTAATTGAACCTGCAATGGAGGATGTGCAAATTAAAACCACAATGAAATACCACCTTACACCAGTCAGAATGACCATTATTAAAATATTTTTTTAAAAATAGATACTGGCACAGATGCAGTGAAAAGGGAACGCTTATACACTGTTAGTGGCAGTGTAAATTAGTATAACATCTATGGAACTCAGTATGGAGATTACTCAAGGAACTAAAAGTAGATCTACCATTTGATCCAGCAATCCCACTACTAGGTATCTACCCAAAGGAACAGAGGTTGTTTTATAAAAAAGACACCTGCACTTGCATGTTCATCACCGGACAATTCACAATTGCAAAGATGTGAAATCAATCTAAATGTCCATCAACCAACCAATCAGGGGATAATGAAACTATGGCATATATACACCATGGAATACTATTCAGCCATCAAAAAGAATGAAAAAATGTCTTTTGCAGCCACTTGGATGAAATTGGAGAACATTATCCTGAGTGAACTAACACAGAAACAGAAAACCAAACACTGCATGTTCTCATAAGTGGGAGCTAAACTAAAGAGCTGCCAAGGCATAGAGAATGGTATAATGGACACTGGAGACTCAGAAGGGGAAGAGGGAAAAGGAGGAGGGTGAAAAATCACCTATTGGGTACAATGCACACAGGTGGGAGTGGTGGGCACTCTTAAAGCCCAGACTTCTTTGTCCCTATCTAATCCCTCCATGTAACCATAAGCTATTTGTACCCTCTTAAGTTATTGAAATAAAGGGGAAGAAAATAGAACCTGCAATGGGAAGCCTGTCTCTTCATACAGAGATGACATTATAGATCATGTCAGGGTGGGTGGCAGCATGGGGACTGCAGCCCTAACGAGTGCCCAGAATAATCTTTTTTTTTTTTTTGAGTTGGAGTCTCACTCTGTCGCCCAGACTGGAGTGCAGTGGCCACTCCCGGCCACCGCAGCCTTGACCCACTGGGCTCCCGCGATCCTTCCGCCTCAGCCTTCCAAATAGCCAGAATTACAGGCGCGCGCTACCACACCCGGCTATTTTTTTTTATTTATTGTAGAGATGAGGTCTTGCTGCCCAGGCGGGTCTCGAACCTGCGGGCTCAGGCAGTCCACTCACCTCAGCCTCCCAAAGGCATGGGATTACAGGCTGAGCCACCGAGCCCAGCTCCAGAATAATCTTCTAATCAGAGGAGACGTGCTGAGTAGGGAGAGATGAGGAAGAGCTTGATTACAGATAAGCAGCTGCCCAACCGGAAGAGTCAAGAATGGGTCCTGTGGCAGTTCCCAATCACTCATCTACAAAGTGGGCAGCCCTGATGCTAAGTCATCGAGATATGTGTGAGCTTTGTATTCACCAGAAGTCCTCTAAGTAAAAGGACTGTATGTAGGGGACCCAAAATTCTGATAATAAGCTTGGGGTGAGGGGAAGAGCCCCCCAAGGAACATTGTGGAATCATAGTAGATAATGGCCAAGCTTCCATGTCAAGACACTCTAAGTCCAATTAACTGCCAAATCCCTAGTCCAGTTAACTGCAAGGGATTTTCTTTTATGAGTGGGGGGTACAAGCTGGGGGCAAGGTGATGGGGGGCTGCTCACTACACCCAGCTGTCCTCTTTTGTGTCCCTCTCCCTGAATCATCATCCTCTCATGGCCCAGAAGGGGCTCCCAATTGCTTACCTGCCCAGGGCACATGGCTGTCTTCAGCCGTGAACATGCGGCAGTTGCAAAGTAGGGTCTTATAATATTATTGCCTAAATCTTTTTAACCCTAAATGTCAGTGCCCTGAGAGAAATCCCTGGATACTTCTCCTTTGCTGCCCCTATCAGGAATCAGTGTGTCTGATCAGCACATCTTTCCTGCATGGGTACTCATTGGAGCTAGTGTGGTCCTTACCTGCCTCATCTCTGCAGCACCATCTTTGTTAAATATATAGATGGCTGGCTGGATGAATGAATGATTCACTACATGAATGACTAGATGAATCAGTGACTGAATACATTTGCAAAATTGCTGCTGGGGTAAGAGATGAAACTGTTACCTGCATTTATTTCTCTATACAAAACGACAGCAGACACCACTGAGATTGGAACCCTCAGCCTTGGCTGTACTCTAACCGAGCTATCCTGTCCAGAAAGAGATATCATAGCACTGATAAAGCCTGCCCTGCTGGGGCTGTTATCATGGTAATGATGGCCATACCACCAAGGTACTTCCTGAGAGTAGGCCTCTTGGAAAGCAGGTAGCCAGAAATTTTCACTGAAGTTTTCCTTTTTTCTTTTCAGATTATCAAGGAGGTCCCTCCACCCCCTGCGGAGGAGAGTGAGGTAAGCGACAAGAGCTGGGTGGGGGTAGGTGGGCAGAGTGGGGCAGAGAGTTGGCAGTGCTATCCCGACACTGAGCCCCCTCCAAAGCAGAGCACAGTCAGGCTCAGCCCCCCACTGTCTTGAAGCAACAGGGAGGGTCAGGGTCGTCTTTGGCCCCTTTCCTAACTGGGGAAGAACAGAAACTGAACTAAACTGGTACCCAAAGACAGAGTGGCTTTGGAGAGTTTTCTCTCTACAGAGATAAAATTTGAGATGCAAACATGTTTTAATCAATACAGTTGTCTAGAGCTCTGAGGTACTGCCTTTTCCTCTGAAACAAACACTTTAGAATTCTCTTCTCCCTGCAGAGACTTAATGCTTTATGCATGTAGATCAGGCACAATTTGCCACATTCTCCAATCGTTGATTCTAGGAACAGACTGATGCCAAAGCATTCCATTTTTCTTTAATTTAAAACAAACCTACCTAAAGGTTTGCCAGGCAATAATGAAAATATGCTGAAGAGGGATATGCTTATATCCTGGCCTTACTCTCAAATCCTCATCATCTAAAGAAAAAGAAAATCTTGGACTCTTCCACTAAATTGGCCAGTAAGCAGTTTTGATTCAAGGGTGGCCGGGGGTAGAATATAGTGGCAACTTTAGGAGCTAATTGTGAGAAAGAGCATCCCTGGGCAGGAATTTCTAGCAAGTGACTTTCTTAATCTGATCACTCCCAGTACAGCTGGACTCCCTAGATACAACACCCACCAATTCAGAAGCCAGGCTATAGATCCAAACACTTAATGAGATTGAAAGATATATTGATAAGGTTTCACGTTCTTGTCCTCACTCCTAAGATCTGCTATGTGCAAATCAAGTGCCAACCCCTTCCCCTCCTCCTTCCAATGCCTTTGTCAAGTTTCCTTCATACAGAAACAGTAATAATTAAATTTAAAGTTTCCATGTGGCTCTTATATCCTGAACTATATGCATGTAAGCCAAGGGATTTAATAGCTGCAATCAATTAAAGCACATCTTGTTGGAATGCTAACTTTCTGCCCAGAAATCAAGGGAGGAAATTACATTGCTGTGCAAAGAGGAGGGAGAGAAAAAAAAAACTCTCTTTACATCCACAAAAACCTTTCCTTAATCCTTTAAGAAAAAAGATGATGGCTTGTTCCACGATTGCAGATTGGCTCTGTTTCTATTGTGTGCAGCTGTCTCTTAGGCTCCCAGAGAAAATTGGGGCAAGGAGCTCCCTAGATGGGGCGGCTCTATTCCCTCCCTCAGTGTGTTCAATTAGAGGCATTATGGCTCTTTTTTCTGGCTCTTGCACTGCATTTGCCTTTAGAAGGTGACAGCCACCATGCCAGAGTAGACCTGAGGACATAGGTACAAGACTGGGGTATCTGCTTTACCTCAGATTCAACATTGAGCATGGGGCTTCACACACAATACGAACTTACTAAATATTTGTAGAATGACTGGAGATAGGTGGTATCTCCGTGTGGTTTTAATTTGCATTTCTTTGATGATTAGTGAGGCTGCGCATTTTTTCATTTATCTGTTGGCTTCTCATATGTCTTCTTTTGAGAAGTGTCTATTCATATCTTTTGCCCATATTTTAAGAGGGCTGTTTATTTTTTCCTTTTGACACATTTGAGTTCCTTGTAGATTCTGGATGTTAGACCTTTGTCAGATGTGCGGTTGGGAAAATTTTTCCCATTCTGTGGGCTGTCTCCTGCTCTTTTGATGGTTTCTTTTGCTTTGCAGAAACTTTTCAGTTTGATGAGGTCCCACTTGTCTGTCTTATTTCTTATGGCATGGTCATCTGGGGTTTTGATCAGGAATTGGTTGCCTTTTCCAGTTTTCGTAAAGGTGTCTCCTGTGTTTTCTAAGATTCTTATAGTTTGAGGTTTAAGGTTTAGGTCTTTGATCCATTTAAAGTTGATTTTTGTGTATGGTAATATGTAGGGGTCCTGTTTCAATGAAGCCCCAATAACACAATTTTGGAGCCAAGAAGAAAGTCCAAACTAGAAAACCACCTAGAAGAAATGGCTAAAAGTAAAGAAAGAGAAGGAGTTGAGTTTTTCCAGTTTCATGGAAGTTGAATTGTCAGCTGAAGAAGGCAGACCTGATTTCTGAAACAGAATGACAGCCTCAGGCTCTTTGAAATCAAAAGGGTTGGATTAGGCTTCACTAAAGAAATGTATGGACTGGAGCTTCCTCGCCCAGGTCATCTCTCACTCCATGAAAAGGATAGCTCACACAGCACCTGCAGTTTTCTTCCTTAATCACACAGCTTTGACCAGACCTAAACAGGACAGATGAGTAGTATATTTTACTTGCTGATGAAAAACAAAACATTGTCTTCCAAGAGCATAGAGCTCCTCCTCCCTTCATTTCCCTTTGAAACCTCTGGCTTAATCAATTAAATATGAACTCAGAAATAAATCAAGAAACCACCCAAACTAGAGACCTAGGCAATAAAAATTTAAGTATTGTACTTTTTAATGTCAGGCATTTTTGAGCATGTGCTGATTGCCTTAGCATGTGTGTTGGCCCTGAGAGTTAGGCCTCCCTAATCTCCTTCCTAATGTGTCTTGGCAGAAAAAAAGAAGAAATAATAAAGAAATCCCACAGAAACAGTTAACTTAGTCCACGCAAAGTGTTGTATACAATGCTCTGAAAATCATAGTCTCAATCTAGACAAGCTGCTCCACTCCAGCTCCTTGTGTTCAAATCCACAGTGTCTAACACTCAGTTAATAGGTGTGTGAAGTCAAATGTTCTCTGCTGTATATATGAACAAGTTAAGTATTAATTATCCAAACTTTCATCAGATCTATAGTCATCATATCCTGAGGGAGGCATGTCTGCTATTTAAATAAATGAATTTAGAGACTAAAGACAATCTTATGAATCTTTAAAATGAGTTCTCAATGATACTCTTTAATAGAAAATATAAAAATTCATAATATAAAAAGGCATGACTTCCTGAGATTCCATGTAACCAATTGTGATACCATTATATAAAGAGTACGAAAAACTTACTTGAAATTTAGAGATATCAATAAAAGCTCGGTTTTAGCAACTAATGGGGGCATTACCTGGGTTATGAGTCTTCTCCAAGTGGCACCAGTGAGGACTCCACTTAAGACTCTGGTTATTCCAAATAATTAGCAGTTTATGGGAGAATGCAGTGATGGAGTATTTAATCTGATGGTTTCCTTCTAAATGTAATCACCTCCCATGGATCTTATGACCACATTTGAGTTTTTATCAGGCTCATTAGGCTGCAAAAAGCAGAGACCAATTCAAGCTAGTTCGAGATGAAAGGACCCAGGTAGACTGTGGTTGGGGAAGGAACTGAGGCAACTCCAGACATCAGCCTCCTCGTGGGTATTTTCACCCTCACTCCTAGCATCTCTGTTTTCTCTGCTGTCTCCTACTGGCCTCCTCTCTTCCCTCTTAACTCTTACTTGTACAGCCCCTTCTGCCCAGGTCTGCCTATTGGCATTTCCCAGCCTTCATTTGATCATCTGCCCCCAGCACTTACAGTCTCATCTCCGAGAATCCATCTTCCAGTTCCCACAGGAGAATATGTTTGATGCAGCTCATCTTTTCACTCCAGATCATAAATCATAAATCTCAGCTCCCAGCCAGCCAACAGACCAGCTTGCCTTGGGTCAAGTGTAGCCAAAGAGAAGAGTCATGTGCTTCCTTATAGGAGCCCTGAGCATGAAGAGAATAATTTCCCTTCGAAGGAGAAATGGACCTGGTGCAGGCACTGTGGCCTCTCTGGAATAGTATTGTTTAAAAAGTTAAACTTCGATCTAATTAAATACTATCAGAATATAAACTACATCCAAGAATCCATGCCATATTCTTTTCCCACCTGCCATTCATGCAGTTTCTCAAAGATCCTGCTGTTCCCAATTTCACACACATTTGAAAGGGCATACATAGCAGGAAGCTCCATGACTGAATGGAAAGTTGGTTACAGTGTAGCCCTGAGCAGCTGCATGTCTTAGACACAAAAGACCCACACATGAAGTCAGTTCACTGGAATAGAGAAGATGCTTCCTCACCCATGTCTTCTCTAGCTCTATCAAAAGGATAGCTCACATGAACGCCTGCAGTTTTCTTCCGTAATCACACTGCCATGGCCAGACCTGGGCTGGCCAGATGAGTAGTACATTCCACTTGCCGATGAAAAACAAAACATTGCCTTTTAGGAGTGTAAAGCCCCTCCCCCATTCATTTCTCTTTGAAACTCTCTGGCTTAATCAATTAATATGATGTCAGAAGTTAATAAAGAAACTACCCATACTAGAGACCTGAAAAATAAAATCTTAAATGTTGTACTTTTTGGCATTAGGTTAATTAAGATCTTAAGATCTGACTTGAGGACATTGGAAAAGTCCAATAGGATAGAAATAAAAGGTATGCAAGTAGCCTCCGTGTTTTTTAGATACATGAATTTCTTATTTATCCATCAGTTCTAGAATGAGTGCCTACTTTGTACTGTGATAGCAAGTCTGAGATTCTCTGCTGCAGTTTGTCTTAAGAGAGGGTGTAATTGAAGTTTGTAAAGTTGATAACCTAATCGGCCCTTATCAGGGAGAAAGGCAGAGATTCCTGTCAGATATTGCATGTGAGTTTTTGAAAATTAATAATGATGATAATTACTGGAGATAACATTTACCAAGCATTTATGACTATCCAGGTAATGATGCAAAGCACTTTTTCTGGTACATTTCATTTAATAGCTCAACGAAGAACAAAGGTGTGCTACTATGATCCCCATTTTGTAAATGCAAAGCCTGAGGTATAATGAGATTAAAATACTAGATTACTCAAGATTACACGGTTTTTAAGTGATGGGACTGGGATTCAAACCTGTACCTGAAAGGGAAACATAGAGAAGTCTTTCTTCACCTGTTCCTGAGGACTCTGCAGCTCCTGCATACAGTAGTGAGGTCCCAAGTCCTGGGGGAGAGCATCAGGTGCTCCTTTC